AAGCGTTTCACTGGTATTGCTGCAAGTGACCTCCGAGTTAGCCGCTGAAGGAAAACCACACTTTCCTGCCTCGCATGCACACATGGCGTGACTTTAATATGCTTGCGTTAATAGTTTCGTTTCATGAAACATAGCTTGGTCACTAAGATCCTATTTCTACGAACACCGCAATCTACGCGTTGAAAATGCGGAGATTTCACGTTTCTGGCTGTGCTGCACGGTATGCTGTCCGGGCGGTTCCGTCCATTCATTACTTTTAGTCGTACCTGAGCTTCTAAGGAGTTCTAACACTTGAACGAGGAATTCAGAGCCAAAAGCAACAGGTCACGGCAAGAAATCGACGTCAAGTCATTAAACTGAACATTTGTGTAATGTGACCAAATGCCAATGCCGACCATGAGGTTGGCAATATGCAGTCATACAATGTAGAATGTCATGTCACACCTTGACAATAGCCCAACATCCCTTAGCAAGAGCTTCCCTTTCGTGTGCGGTATTGTGCATACGATGTAATGCAAGGCATTATAAATTCATGCTGAAACCTACAGTTTCCAGTGGACCGCTGAGATTGCTTTGTTCGTTGTGGGCGTCGACGGTTTTAGGTAAGGGAAGTCACTGGAGCAAATTCAGACAATGCTTACGGCTTGCGGAGAAACTCAAGCGGCGCTAGCTCTCGAAGTTCTCATGCTTCCTTCTTCTTCCTTCTCCTTCCCTTTTTTCTCCCTCCCTCCCTCTCTCTCTCTCTCTCTCTCTCTCTCTCTCTCTCTCTCTCTCTCTCTCTCTCTCTCTCTCTCTCTCTCTCTCCTCTCTCTCTCTCTCTCTCTCTCCCTCTCTCTCATTTTCTCCCTCAGCGCCAACCAGACGGACGCCACGTGAACCCTGTCTCTCTCCCTTCCTTCTCTTCCGCGGTTCCACAGCCCGTCTCCCTGGCCCTCTGCCACCCACCAGCCGTCTCGGTGCGGGCCGGACGGGTGCCGGGGAGGCCCGACCGGGGCAGCCGGGTGATCAGGCGCCCGCCGTGCGGCCTCAGTCGTTGTCCACGGTTTACGAGCGCAGCCACCCCGCGGTCGCCGCCTGGGCCGAAGCTTTCATTGCAACTGCATGGAGTTAACTGCAACTTTTATGGGCGGCAGCAGGACGTAAAATACCGGATCGACATGAGTGACCATGGGCTCAATTGATGAAACCTTCTGGAACGGTCACGTCTTCTCTAGGAAGGGATCAGCCGAAATGGCGCACTCATCAGTAATCTACGGAAAATAGTTGTCTGGCCAAGGAAATTACCTGATATTCGACCGTATCGTAGCATGCTGTATTTGAATCCAAGGCATGTCTGAATTGTATAAGAATATGTTTCACAAAATGGCGAGAAGGCGCATCAAATTTTGAAATTCGGATCACTCAAGGGTTTCACAATAATGCACTGACCAGCAACTTTGGTGGGGTAACCACAATGCCATATTGTCTTTATTTCTGTGGTCTAACTGAACGAGTCAAAATTTAACGAAACATTGTCACCCAACAAGTATTTACACAGGATAATATTTGTGGATTGGCTGAAAGTTACTATAAATCTTTTATTCGTGCTTTTGCTCAGGAACGCACTCAAAGAAAAACTCGTGTCTTTTATTGTGCTCGTCATTGAACAAATAAGGGGCCCTTAGACATCCATAGAAAGGGAGAAAAGAAGAGTACGAAGGCAGCACTCTGTCGTATTGCTCACTGAATCACACCATAAATCCGAGGGGCCTGGACTTTTAAGCACACTGTACAAGGTACCTGAAAAGATACCAACTCAAGAACTTCTGGTGTCAGCAAAATGTCGAGAGGCCCACAGCACAAGGAGAACACATTTCGAATGTCTGCCTCTTTTGCTCTCTAGGGAGTGCCTACAAGGACCTTTGTCGGGGCTCCCGGGCTACTCCTGTCGGCGCTCCCTTGAGGTCGAATATCTTCACCAAATTTTTATGTCCGCGCCTGTTCGTGGCACTGTGTTTCAGTTATAGGTGGGGAACACAGACACTCAATTCCCCACGTACGGAATGCTGGCGATGATCCATCACTCTTGCAGCTATTGCAGCCCGGTGCTTCATCACTGCTGTAGATCAAGTACGTTTACCCAATATATACATATACATAATCTATAATGCCTAAACCCGAAGAAATCCTAAAACCAGGCAAAGATACGTTTTCATGTTCCCGAAGGAGCCACTGAATAGCATACGCATCACACTAGCCGTTGTTAGAAAAGCGAAGTCGCCACTGACGTTTGTCATAGATTTACGTGCATTTGTTAGCGGAAACAAGCATAACAGAACAAGCAGAGAATGTAGATTAATATTCAAGATACTTTTTCTTTCCTTGTTGCATTTCTTAGATACCCCGATATTACGGATTACTGCACTTCATGTTAAACCTTATAGTCATCAACGCTGTTCCCTACAATAACGGCTTCAGTTCGTTAGGTTTGCGCGCAAACAATATTACAGCAAATCTTTTATGGTCCTAACTTTAGATGTATTCTAACATACAATTGGGTATAATTTACGAACATTTGATGATAACGATTGAGCACTAACCTTATTCCGGGCGGCCCCCCCCCCTCGTTAATGCTATTTCAGACAGGGAGGGGCCAATCCCCTGTGAGAACTCGCTGAAAAAGCTGGAACCACTGACCGATTATATACAAAAATTGACATTCGATGTCTCTTGACCAAATCTGCATTTGAAAAAGAAGATCTTAAGAATTCCCCATGGGGGGCCACAGGGGGAAAACAAAATTTGGCCGGTTTTTTCATAACGCAATATAGCTGTAACGCTGCCAACCGATTTCGGGTGGCCAACGCAAATGGCAAGATCATGATACGTTACAGCAACATCATATCAACATTATTCATTAGCGTATCCAGGAGGTTCAAAGCGGGTTGACAGCAACGATTTAAAAAAAAAACTTAATGGAGTCCATGATGATAAAGTGGGACGGGCTCATGCTTTGTCATAATAAAAACAGATGTCAGCCGATCTTTTTTTGACAAAGATGGAGCCAGAGTGCTAGTGTCGGTGATGAAGAAGCCATGCTGAGTGGGTAGCAGTTACCTTGTTGAACGTAATGATCCTACGCCTTGTTAACACGCGCTCGATTTGAGGTTAATTTGGACCCCGAAGGTTTCTCCAAAACAACCATCAAACGGCACGGCATAGCAGCATCACAACTTGCCTGACTACTGGCAATTGATTGCCCAGTCTTTGATATACAAAGTTGGGTCTTGTAAGGTCGCTGACCAATGGCACGTCAAAGTCAGACCATGGGTGCCAGCAAACATCACTCCTAGGGAATCGTTCAATCTGCTGCGACACCGAAGTGACGCATGAGTGCGTGAGTGATGCGGACGTCGGAGTGAGTGTTGTGTTAGACGCAGTCATGCGTCTTTGAGATGATCTCTTAGACAATAAGACAATTTGATAAAGGATTACGAGAAACTGCATCGACCTTGGGCATGTGGGATTGCTATAAAGGTCAGAGCGAAGTCAAAACAAAACCACTTTTTATTTGAGGACAAGTCCTATTATGGGATAGTTTTTGACGTTCATTTCAAATGTCCTCATAACAAGGACGTCAGCAGATATTTAATTTGGACTTACGAGGTTTTGGGGGCCAGAGAGGGTCACTGACACAAAATTACCCTATCGGCCCGTTGTTTAAAGGAACACCGCTTGCAGTAGTCTTCAACGCGTATGCCAATTAAAAAAAAAACAATCAAGAAGGTTTTTGGTCATCTCGACCATGTGAAGGTCAATACTGTCATTAACCTGAAATCATCAACCGTAGCCTTTTGCTCAGAACTGGTATTTATGTTAAAAGGGGCCATACAAGGAGATCCGAGTGCCCTTTGGACTTTAATCGGGACTTTTACCTTATTTAACCTGAAGGTCATGATTAAGGGACCGCAAAATGTAACACAAGTGGGTTCACATACAGGTCACTTACTTTGTGAATTTGGTGACTCTAGATTGCTTAGTTTTTTTTAGATCTCAGCGGGATCGAATTGACCCCCACCCCAACCGAGCGCCTCACATTCACCTGGCCACCGTGTGTTGGTTAAGTATGTTGTCTATACAGCATGCATGGACATGGACAAGACTTTCCTTCCTCCTGCTTCACGCGTGCGCACATTTTCCCACGCTGTCTTCACGCGACATTGTGGTGTTTTCCATAGGAATGAGGTCAGGTTTATCTGCACCCCTTTCACAAAACCCGAACACACGTAAAAGTCAAACGAATTATCATCAATTTCCACCGTAAATTACCATTAAACGTACGTGTAAACATTGCCGGCAGTGCAAAGTGTGGCTAGCAAAGTTCGGCTATCTTGGTGCCGATAAATATTCCTTACACGGCTGCATTGGTGACTCTTAATGCGGTCCGCATTACTAGGAAATTGCCCCTATTTCTAGCCCTGGGACCACTTCTGCCTTTACTATTTTGTTGTTTTGCGATGATCATGCCCATGCTGCAACTGTCTTATTCAACAAACTAAACGTTCCCTATGAAAACAGAGCAGTGTGTATCATCCAATAAAATCGCCATATTGACATGATCGCCAAACTTTACAGAGGTTCCTCCCAATACCAGCCGAGAGCACAGCCCTGCGCATTCTACATGCTCGAGTTTTAACACAATGCGAGCAAGACCTTCTAAACAAGTCAGCCAATTTCAAGGACCTGCTCCCGTAGTGGCGGCGGGATCCTAGTAGGGGTGGATCCCTGGTGGGAACAAAATCCTGAGTGCGGCGGGGATTCGCAGTGGGCCCCCGAAGTACTCTAATGGAGATATCACCCCCGCCCCCTGACGGGATAGGGTTAAGTGGTATTTAATAACACGTTGTATGCAGCTCACAAAATAGTTTCCGCATGGAATACATATTCCCTAACAGCGGCACTGAATGCACTGCAAGGGGCCGATGAGCCCAGCTAACCATGATTCTAGCACCCACTTATATTTTGCATAAGTACATTGCCACGAATGTAATCTTGCATTTTGATAGCGCAAATGTGCCGATCAGCGCAATTATCTCAGCTTGAAAAGAGCACCGTGGAATTTCTGTCACCAATTTCACATTCAAAGTCGGGTCCATAATCGGATTATTCTCACTCCTACATGGCAACTGCTCGGGGTCCCTGCGGCCGGGCCGTTCTCAGTCTTGTGCAGCGGAGCCTCGTGTCATCAGGTGGACGAGCACGGTTCCGTCCGACGCGGTGGGGGTTGCGGGGGCGAGCCTGCTTCCAAGCTTCGTCGCGGAGCGGCTCACACAAGACACCCCCTGGGAGGCCAGTGGAGGGCGGGGGTGGGGGAGGGCCCTCTCCCGAGAGGTGGTGGGGTGGTGTCGCGTGTAATGGCCGACCCACGCCGCCAGCGCCGCACCGCGCGTGGAGGTGCTAAATTTTTAGTTGCGAAACAGCTCTGTTTATGGTCCGTTGCTGAGCACCTCCAGACGACGACGGCGATTTACGGGTGACCCGTGTTATTAGCCATTAGCGGATGCGCCGCTGAGGGGGCCTTCCAGGTGGGATATCAACCAGCGACGAGGACCAGGCGAGAGGCCGCGAGGGTCTCGTCGCTCTCTCGTGCTCTGTCGCGCGGAAGGCGTAGCTACGAGCGCTTACCGTGACGCCCTCAAAGCTGATGTGGTGAGCGCTTTCTTTCAGCATGGCCTCCCAGTCGCCGTTCCTGTAGCGAAAGTCTGAGAGCCGCGACTTGGTGGGCAGAGGCGACCGGTTGTGGCGTACCTGCCAGTCCACCTGCCGAAGGAGAACGTGACTTTCACTACACAACTCAGACACTTGTGGAAGGGGCTACGTATAGATTCTGTCAACATGTGGTCAGTGTATGCTAAAATGTTGCAAACATTTTGCAGCTAACGGGCTGCTGGGTTGCTTTTGCGGCGTCAGTAGGGTTGTGCTTTGGCGTCTTCTGCCAATCTGACTTGATGAGGGCCAGCGCTGGATGGTCACATAGCACTCATGTAAGCGACAATGGATGGTCACCATCACCTATAATGTAGACGCCGATGGGTGGTCAGCACCACGTCTGATACACGTGACGAGGAGTAGCCACCATGGCGCCTGATATGGGCGACGGTTGGAAGCCACCGTCACGCCTGATTTAGACGCCGATGGGTGGTCAGCACCACGCCTGATGTAGGCGACAAGGGATAGTCACCATGGCGCCTGGTATGGGAAGCCACCGCCACGCCTGATGTGGGACGCCGATGGGTGGTCAGCACCACGCCTGATATAGGCGACAAGGGATAGCCACCATGGCGCCTGATATGGGCGACGGTGGGAAGCCACCGTCACGCCTGACGTGGACGCCGATGGCAGTTCACCATCACACCTGATGTAGGCAACAATGGATGGACAATCATGCCTGACGTAGACGATAATGGGTGGTCAGCACCACGCCTGATATAGGTGACGACGGATGCTCACCATCACGCTTGGTGTAGGCGGCAACGGATGGTCACATTACGCCTGATGTAGGCGGCGACTGATGGTCACATTACGCCTGATGCAGGCGGCGACGGGTGTTCACCATCACAGCTGATACAGGAGACGATGGATGGTATAAGTATGACGCAATCCTGTGCAAGTGAACAGCTGTGTCGCATGACACAGGGCCCTCGCGCCATCAAACCGTCCAAGCGCAAATTGCAAAATTTTGCCTTGGAGGTGATTTTGTCACGAGGTACTTTTAATATTCATCCCTAATTCAGATTCAGCGAAAAAAGGAGAATATGCTGTGATAAACCAGCTGGTAAACATAAATACTAACATAAAAACAATCATAAACAAGCTTCACTTGTTTGAACCTCATGCCGTGTCATCTGGCCGGATGAAAAAAGTTGCTCGCACTGTATCTGAGACGGGTATCTGTGTTGTGCTTTACATGTTCTCAAGTGGGCGGTCGCTATAACAATTTAGGCACATATAAGTTAAATTTACCACAGACTTACACTTCACAGAGGAAAAATTGCACTCAGCCGTTCAAAAAGTCGGTTTTTCCTCGGTGATGTCCACATCCAACATGAATCATTTCAGTAGCATTAAGTTCCTTCATCCTTCACAAGAAACCAAATGTTAACGCCCCCGGCTTTCAATTTGCTTTTTGACCGTAATCAAGTTAGCGCGCTGTGAATACGAATTGGTCGCCGATGCCGTTTCATGCATATTCGCACGGCTCTATCAGCGCCGATGGCTATGTCCATTTGGCACTTGATAAGGACTAGAGGGGAGGCCAGCATGAGGTCGATTGCATATTCAGTGTGGAAGACGCCTGCCAGACCCAGGGGCGTCCGATGATTTCAGTCCTCGCAATGAATAGCTTACTGCCAAGCCGCGGCGCCTGATAGCCACGCGGACGGCACTCAGTGCCTTCCGCCATTCCACAGACTCTGCGCGTCAGAAGTCGTCATTGGCTCCCTCTTCCGCCCTCCGGTTATGATGAGCCTCGATATTAGGACGACCGCGTGGGTTCGACCCGCACTTTAGATCATTAATTCGTTTGTCAATTGTTGAGGGTGGAACTGAATGCGATAGCCTAAATCGTTATATGACTTACTACTGGAAACGGTGACAAGTCAACGCTGTGTTGGTGCGCTGAGACGGCAAATTGTTTATGACCGTTACAGACTGGTTATTATTAGCTAGAGGACGCTGGTATGACTTGAGTGGAGCTCAAACATAAACGTAACGATTTTGCGGATTTTTTTACCTTGCGCTTCGTGAGAGATGCGGATGTTCGAAGCTCATATCGGCATCGGACCAATGAACGCATCGCTAGCCTCACATAATGACAATCATTTACCGACAACCTGGAAATCGCGCTAAAACCATGCACTGGCACAAGGGAAGCCATTATTTTCACGCCCGTTAGCGATGATTACCGGCCGCGTCAGGCGCCGTTTGGCTCCCGCGGTGCCGTGTGAGATCGATCAAAACTCGATGAGCGCGCGAGAGCTGGCGCCGGCAGGATCGTAGCACAGAACCCGCGGTCACATCACGTGCCGTCCGCGATCTATACGCTGCCACCCGCGTTCACAGCGAACAGGGACGCGGCGAGGCCGGAGAGCCCAGCGGCTGTGCCGTGGCATTAGTCCTGATTTGTGCCCCGCCCAGTCTGTGGGAGCCAATGTGGACCACATCGCGCGGCGTCGGATAGAATTACGCTCGCCATCCGCCTCTCATTTCGCGAATTAACGGATATCCGGCTGCAGGGTATTGCGGCAGCTGCGGCGGGGGCGGCGGCGGCGGCAGGGCCCGGCGGGTACGGCGCTGTTTGGGACCCGGTCTGGCCCCCATAGAGGCTCGTCCGGTCCGGCGCTGGTTGGAGCCCGGCCCAGCGTTGGTTGGGGCCCGGTTCGGCGTTGGTTGGGACCCGGTCCGGCGCTGGTTGGCGCCCGGTCCGGCGCTGGTTGGGGCCCGGTCCGGCGGCGGCTAGCTGTCTGCCGCCGCCGCCATCAGGACCGTTCTCCCGGCCGCGATCCGGCAGCAAGAGTAATGGCGGTAATTCCGACGGCGGCCGCCCTGGGAGGAAGGCGCCGGCACCGGCTAGTTGGCGCGACAGGTAGAAATAGCCGGCCGGATAACTCACGCGCCCGCCGCTTTTCCGCCGCTCTTGAAATGGTTCGGGCGCCGTAATGAAATGAGGCAGATCACTTCATGAATCCGGAAATAGACCAGTTTTGCGCGGCTATGGCGGATTGATCGGCCCCTGGAGTGGACGTTTGGTTGGGTTCTTGCGGTGGCGGCATGTGCGACACAAAACGCGGTCAGTTTCGCGCAGTCGCTGCAGCTTTTTGCAAGTGTGCTTCCTGCACTGACTTAAAGTTTATGTGATTTAAAAATAATCCACTTGCACGGATTTGTTCTGCCTTATGAACAGGCCTATATTTAAAAAGAATCTAGAAAAAGACTGTCGGAAGCAGGTAGTCGTTCAAATGATCTTCACAAGGAGTGCTGAACAAACAACACTCATTTCCCCGCAAGGGGCCCGCGGCATTGTGCTGCCACTGAGAATCAGCCTGAAGAGCGAAGTAAACGTAGTTACCTTCGGGACCATGAACGTGAGTCAAACGCTTCTCATAATCTCTGGCGACTTTTGAGTCACAGTTTTGCGGACGCATTAAGACGAGGTATTATTATCATGAACGGAATGGTTGCCCGGACTATCATCCTTGTCTTGTGTGCGAGATACACAAACTTTCGGCCAGTTAACTGTACGGCCGTCTTCAGGTGCTATACAATCCTGAGAATGTCTGGACGATGTTTATTTGCCAGCTATTATGCGTGACAAGCCGAATACTGTCTTTGGAATTGCTCGGCTTCAAACCAGAGCCGTCACGATGCCGTCCAAGCAGTCTTCTTGATTGCCAGTACAGTGTGCCCCCAACTGAGCTACTTACCAACTGAACAATCATTATCCACTCCTGTTAGCTCATTTGGAAGAACCCTGCGCTTGCAATCATGAAGGCCTGGTTCGGATCCCAACAATTTGAAGGAGATGACTAGGATTATTGGCACCTACATGGCTGATAACCAAGCACCATCCAGTTCTTCTCAGTGCTTCATAACATCTGTCCACGAAGGGAGATTCAACTGGCCGAAGCGTTGTCGTAATTAACGCATCAAACGAGGATGATTGTCCGAACAGTTATTCATTCATGACCTTTGAGTTGATGACGCTGTTTCAAAGACATTCCTGCATGGATACCGTCCAAGCAGACTGAGCCGCAGTGCAAGTACGGTTGTGTGCTTAAACGTTGTGGATCACTGTTATGTGGGCCTTGGCTTCAGAACGGCACCACTTGGTGTATGCTGCACCAGGCATGTCAGGTTTAGTACAGACAATGCATCGCGCGTAAGCTATAAATTGTTGCTCGCGTGTGGCCTCTCCTCGTTGGAATGAGTTGGAACACACTGCATCTATTTATAATATAGAAGATTGTCGCATGTGGCTCTGATTCTGGTTGGCCAACCAGCCTGAAACACCGCCGCCACACCTACCAGTAACCAGTTTCTCAGAGCGAGGGGTAATAGATCGATCCATACAGGTCTTTTATAGCCATGAGTAACGCGAAGTACAAGAAAATGAGATGTGCGGCGATGTATACCAATATCTGTTTACGAGAGAGCCGTGCACGACCCGGACAGGCCTGGGACCGCTGCAACGGAAAACGGACAAGGGGGATGTTACAAATCGATGGAGCCACGTAATGTGCTTCTACAAAACGCTATCATGATAACGAGATTATGATTGAGCGATCGCGAATAGTGATACAGAATGTAAGTATGCATGCACAAACAAAAAATGAAATAAAACCAAAAAATGTTGCCTTTATTTTTGCTGCGGTCAAGACGAATTTTACCAGGTGCACATTTTAGGCATCAGTATAAGACAGTTGTGTCCGCTACCCCTCACGGAGGCCTCAGTTGGAAGTGACCACTGTGACCTAAACAAAGCGCAGCGGCCCAGTAATGCTTCACACAACAATGTACTTCCAACGTGCAACTTTCCGAGACGTACGTCGAGCGGACGCCAAACTCCGGCCAAGTCAATGGCATGGCTCGCTGTCCATTAGCGTGTGCATTAATGCTTGAGTGGGCCGTCAGTAACGGCGAGAAGTCGGCTGCCTCCTCGATCCGTCGCCTGAGCCCGGAGCGGCGCGGCGCGGTCCCCGGGGCCGTCCGGGATGCGATTCCGCCTGTCAGCTCGAGCCCAGCCAGAATGCGCCGTCCTGCTGCTACCTGGCAACGGCCGGACGGCGCGGGCCCGGAATGGCCATGCCACCAGCTGACCCCTGTCTGGAGGCGGCGGGGGCGTTCGAGGGCGGAGAGCAGCGGGCGGGGCGGGTGATGACTTGTCTCTCCAAGGATCAAAGGCCTCAGATAGGAAGTTCTCTGATTCAGATGTCACCGTTTCCACGGGCGTTTCTGTGTGGATGAGCGTAACGTGGGCCGTGCGAAGCGACGAGTGAAATGTTTTTGTTCTATAGAGCGAGAGCTCAAGCACTCTGGGACCAATCGAGTCCAGGCAGTCGTGTCGCCGGAGGTGAGAGCTATTCAAGCAGGGCTGACTGAGATAACAGCACTCTCAGAGACAATCGAACATCTCCTTTGTCTGAGGTCAAGGCGTGCTCTTCTACGGAAACAGTGTCTGGTACGTGGGAACTGGAAACCGCCCGGCCGTTTCTGACATACGCATCATGTATCAAGCTCACATATCGAAAGCTTGTCGAGCTTGTGCATTGCGAGTCCGTGCATCCAGAACAAGGAGGGCACTCTCCACTCCCCAGAACACAGCGCACTCTAGTGTAATCTCGCCCGTTACCTGTAGTGCACGCTGCGCTAGAATGCACTGATAGAGTCACAATGTCTGCCTCTTGGCAAGGTCGTGTACCGCGGGACAGCGGTCGGTCGGCCGCTCACCTGGTGCAGGGTGGAGGCTATGGCCCAGATGCCGTCGTAGGCGTAGCCATGGAAACGTGAGTAGGCGTTCCCACGCACATGGTTGTACTGCTCGTAGTACTGGCTGGCCGTCTGCAGACGAAATGAAAATATTAGAGGCTTGTTGAAGCGTGTTGGCTGGTGATCGAAGGTGGGGCGCATGCAGCGTTTACCGATTGCCGAAGATCAGTTACGATACCGTTTCACTTTTATCAGTTGCCTTTTACAGTATGTTATCTGCGTATTTTGAAGAATTACCGCAACTGGTTTCAGCGGATCTCCTTCGATCTAACGTATTTCATTCTTTAGGCATGACAACGCTCAATGCACAAGGAATATCCTAATAGCTGAGAGCCCTAAGGCTCATTCTTTTGTCGGCGGCACGGGGCGCAGTGATGGATCAGAAATGGAGTCTGTCGGTTGCCTTGATTTACTCGATGAGCCATATTCTACAGCTGTATCCAAGAAGAAACAAATTGAGGATGTCCTCAATAAGGCTTCGTGATGATGTCTGACATAAATTCAAGGAAGCGATTTCCAAAACAAATCGGTTGTCTTCCATGACAACATAAGGAAATGGACTCTTCATTTTGCCGTCTGATAAACTGCGCATTGGAATAGTTGCCCTGGATTTCGTTTTAGATTCAGTATGCTGCCGAAACACGAGCAAAGGCAAATGAAACATATTTCTGAAGAGGGGTTGGTCGACACGATCTCTTATCACACTGTTTACAGTAATGCGTCCCCGTGTAACCAGCCATACAGTCAGGGTTATCTATTGTGGTGTATAAATGCATCATCATTCATTACACTTGATTTTCCATCATACATCCCACAGAGGTGTGTGCAATTACATATGTCATGCTGGTGGAAATCATACACACGCTGTTTGCAAGTCTTCGCCGAGCAGAATTGTGTTCGACGCGAGCTGAATCATGGATCGGCTCATGAGTTAGTCGTTTTGGGGTGGGTCAAGTCATGAACTGCAACACTTTTTCGTAGATTTCATGAGCTGAATCGTGAGCCGATGGTGTCTTAAGATTATGTGTCAGCGAGTCATATGGCCCAAATGAAAATGGCAACATAAAAAACACCCAGCACCCCAGACAAATCAACAGCCCATTTCAGATTGCTAAAATGAACAGCATGCAGCAGTAATATAAAACGCTTTGCAAGATCAGCAACGAAGTTCTCTACCGCAATTTATAAGTAGCCAGCCCAATATTGTTGATCCTGAGCTAAATTTTACAGAATCTCAGCCAGGAACCAGAGTATATTGCATTGTGCAGATATCCTTCATTCCTATATTGTATGCTAGAATCAATGAAAGGTCGTCTGCTACCTTGAAAATCTAAGTGCGGTCATATGCATTCAGGTCAATTATCACTGCAATGAATTAATCCATGACTGACCCCGCACTACATTGCTCCATACTACTTGGTCAGCTGCAAGCATGCTTTTTCGGAAGCTATGTGAAATAAACAACAATAGTGGCGAGGTCGATTAGTCCCACACGCGCACTGTATCTCACAGGCGACCCACAAGGGATAACATAACTAATCCTTTTCACGCAACTTGGGTGCAAATCTGACCTCCAAATTTAGTAGTCTTGGAATGCGGGTAAAGTGGCGCACAACACTTTTATCTCCACGCAGCGCGGAAGTCTGTTTTCACTCCTCACTCCTCGTAGAGTGACCCGATGATGTAAGTTTGGAACACCCTGGTGAAAACGGCGGTCACCGCTAACTTTAGCTTATTCTAATTCAGTTCTTCAGTTCAGTTCAGCTCCTTGCTGACCGGAAGTCGAGGAGCGAATGAATTGGATTTTCGCTGCGCTCTTTTGTAAGAAATGTTAGTCTAATTTGTAATACATATTACCTAAGTAACGTAAGGTCATCACATGTTTGTAACTTATGGTAGATGATCCCTATTGCAAGAAATTAAATCGAATGTTGAATTGTTGGCATGCCATCAATACCAATGTCAATACCATGTTAATGCACTTGGACGGCACTTGGCAAGTGCGGACTGCCAACTATCAGGTTCTATGCAGTCTAGTTCGCAGGTGTCAGGTAGAATTGCAGGCCTAGAACTGAGACTTGAGAGAGCTGGTTGGTAGCAGGTTACAGGAAAAACATTCGTTGCCGCACTGCATATGCTAGGTTCAAACTATAAACTTGCTGCTCAGCTATTCGTATGTATTTTACATATCATGGTATATAGTATATATATATATATATATATATATATATATATATATATATATATATACGACTGAGTTATAAAACAACAAACCGAACATAAGTTGGATTTTTGATTTTGCAAGCGGCGCGAGTCATGTGTCAAGTGATTCAATGCAAGCAATGGGTCTGAACCGAGCTGAATAAAAAAAATGGGCCCGCCATGAGCCATGGCTGGATGGGATCTCAAAATCTGTGAGTCGGTCCTGAGCCGGATAAAAAACGAGTCAAACACAACTCTATCCCCAGACCAGCAAAGCAATGCCTTTCGAAAAAATAAAGACGTCGACAAAGTCCGTCACATTCCCCTGCGTCCCGGCATGACACAGTCAGCTGGCGCCAGTTTGCGCAACAGCTGTCCGCGCTCGACCAGGCCGGCAGCCGCCCGGTGCAGCCAGCGGGACGTACCATGCCGGAGACGGTCTTGCGCTGGTTGTTGCTGAGGTGAAGCACGTCGGCAAACACAGCGCCCGGCAGAGCATGCAGCACCTCGGCCACGGTGCAGGGCTCGGCGGCCTCCGGGCCGGCGAACTGGTCCTCGAGCCACCAGCTCTCGCCGTACAGGCCCACCAGCACCCACTGGTAGCGGCGACCAAACATGCCCTCGCGGCGCGCCTCACAGAATATCCGGCGCGCCCAGCTGGCGTCGAAGCTGCCCAACACTATTCGGACGTCCTTGCTCTTCAGCTTCTGCAGCTGGTCGGTGATCTTGCCGGCGAACGTCTGCATCTCCACCACTTCCACGGAGAAGGTGTCAAGCAGGCCGACCATGTCGTTGTGCGCCTGCAGCAGGGGCACACGTCAGTGGCGGCCCGAGCGAGCCCGTCGGCCCAGACGTCCGACGCCCAATTTATGACCGGTATCAATGAAAGAGCCCTGTCGACCATATATTCATTTCGAGCAGGTCATCCCTCGCCGGCAAATGTAACCGGCGACAGGACATCAATTGCAGGAACACGTTCAGGGACGAGCGGGCCGCTCTATACCGCCCTGCCTCTGCTCCGAGCCGTGAGCGCCACTCGACCGGAACGACCGTCCTGAAGGGAGTGACCTCTCCAGCTGGCCGCGCGGCGGCACTGGCGGCGGCGGCTGCCTGGGGAGGGCGGCTGCCAGGTCGGCCCGGCTCCGCCACGGGCGCGTACTCCCACGGCTCGTTGATTTGTTATTCAGCCAACTTGGTACCATCTTGAGAAGATGATTGCTTTCCGGGAATGGTCCACTCGGGTCAGCTTTGAATGCAGTGGACGCTTGCGACGTCGTCAGAGAAGTGGCCGCTGGCATTCACGCATCGCTCGCCAGCAGGGTTGCGCACCATTTCGTATTGCCTGGCGTAGCCAGCGGCCACCAAGCGAACGAACCTCGCGACATCTACAACCTTAAACCTCGACACCTACACCAAAGCTGTCGGCAAGCCTCCTAACACAGTGGCACAGGCTGACCTGGCCTCGCGTTCCTCCAGCCGTCCGGGCTGAGTTGCGTGCGTTCGCGACCCCGCCCACCGGAACGCCTCGGGGCAGGCGGACGGCCGTCCCTCGTGAGCTGCCGGCGGCACGCTCTCCCGACAAGTTTCAACGGCTCCGTTTTGTTTACTGGCCGGGGCGCGGCGCGCAGCAATTAATGCGGGCCGGCCGGCGGCCGGGTAGCGTGCCACGTCGCAGGCGGCACGCCCCGGCCGGCACAGCCCGCCCACCACAACAGCGCGCCGCGCCCCGGCCAGCGACGACACAATCAGGCGAGCCAGAGCCAGAGTCAGAGCCAGAGCCAGAGCCACCGCCGCCACGCCCGTAAGCGGCCAAGTTTTCCGCTGTTTGCCGGCAACTTCCATCGGCATCTCTCTACCGCAGAAGACGTTTTGTTTGCGGTTACTCCGGCAGTGCTGAAAAGGCCTGGCTAGCTAGGGAGGATTGTGCGGTTACACGGGCTGTGTGTGTGCATTCACCTTCCGTTACTCTCTCCCTCTCCGCAGACACGAGAGCACGGAGGTAAGGGAGGTGGGTGGCTGCTGAAATTTGAAAATATCTCTCACACGGGAAATTTTCAAATTTTCGTGGCATGAGTCTTGTAGCGAAGAGTATCAAAACAGGTCAGAGCACATGCTGTAAATTCCAGGTTCCAACATGTTGGAACCCGGAACGTCATCTCGTCTCGTCTCGTCTCTGTCTCTGTCTCTGTCTCTGTCTGTCTCTGTCTCTGTCTCTGTCTCTGTCTCTGTCTCTGTCTCTGTCTCTGTCTGTCTTGTCTCTGTCTGCTTGTCTATGTCTCTGTCTCTGTCTCTGTCTCTGTCTCAGTCTCTGTCTGCTCTGTCTCGTCTCTGTCTCTGTCTCTGTCTCTGTCTCTGTCTCTGTCTCGTCTCTGGCTCTGTCTCTCTGTCTCTGTCTCTGTCTCTGTCTCTGTTCTGTCTCTGTCTTGTCTCTGTCTCTGTCTCCTGTCTCGTCTCTGTTCTGTCTCTGTCTCTGTCTGTCTCTGTCTCTGTCTCTGTCTCTGTCTCTGTCTCTGTCTCTCTATGTCTCTGTCTCTCTGTCTCTCTCTATTCTCTCTCTCTCTCTCTCTCTCTCTTCTCTCTCTCTCTTCTCTCTCTCTCCTCTCTCTCTCCTCTCTCTCTCTCTCCTCTTCTCTCTCTCTCTCTCTCTCGCTGGCATGACACTCACTCCATCTAAAGGGGTTGTTTCTCTTGCAGTTGGCAAGCTGTGTCCCACCTTGTCAGTTTTTACTCGTAGCCTCGCGAGCGATGATATGATTGTTGATACCAGCTGGCAAAACTACGCAAACAGACCTTCCCGCTCATCATGGCTCCCCATTTCACTCAAGGAAACCACATGGTGAACTAAAACAACTCATGCGCCTACAGCATATGCCTGGCTGTAGTGGTGTCGCCAGTCCAGTTCACTGTTTGAGTGAGTCTTTCATCATACTTCAATGATGTGTCAAAACCGCCGCTAATTTCTTATCTTTGCTTTCTCAGTGGTTACGGTCATGTGGACCTAGAGATAGTGACAACCTAAAGATGGCATGCTTTTCAATAAATTTGCACGGCTATAAAGCGCCTTTTCAGGGAGCGATAATTGGTTTCTGAACCACTTGAGTTACACCTGTAAAAAATAAATAAGAGATGTGATATAGGTTACCAGTTGATACCATACTGTACATCATACGCCTTTAGAAAAAGCGTCCCATCTTTGGGGCATGGCTCAAAAACATACCCTGCTGAAACATAAGGTCCAGTTACGTCTAACAATAGCACTGGGTTATACCAGTGCAGCACCGTCAAGACATAATAAGGATGTAAACGGCAATTATTTTCGAGTCTAAATTACGCTGTCAACGCTTTGTAACAGCACTGCACTTCTTCCTTTCTTAGTGACACCGGAGTGTATACCGAGTCCGCAACAAATGCAGTTGTCACGACCATCGTCGTCATGGCGACGGCAGAATTTGCTGGGGGCTGTTGTCGGCTATTGCGGGTTAGAGGCATCGTTTTGAGCTGTTTTTACCCACATATTGCAGACCTGGGGACTAAAAAGTGGCAACTCTACTAGTGTGGATGACGTCAGTATAAATGAAAGTGTGTGACTGGGACAGCTGGCGGCAATGGCCAGTTACCGAGAAGCGCATTGACTGAATTTGAACCAGTGCGTCACTGTAGACCATGTAATGCTCTCTTCTCCGAAGCCATTGCGCTTCGCAAGGAGCTGCTGTAGTTAAAGCCATAGTGGCCACAGAGGAGAGATCAAAGCCATGGTGTGATGTTTCGTTGAATTCGCGGGATAACAGCCTCATGTTTGCAAGTCGTTTTCTCTAAGCAATGCTTCAAGTTTTCGCAATATTAATTACATAAGCATTTTGACAGTGTTGAAAAGATGGTGGAGAACGTATCCTTTGCAAAATGGAAGATAAGTGAAACGTGTTACTTTCATTATAGTGAGCGGGCCTAATGAGATGTTCTCCCGCAAGAACGACTACTTCAAATCGAAATCCTGAACCATTCAGAAATATTTTGAAGAAACTCGTATTACCGTTTATATCAGACACGTCTAATCTAACAGTAAGTGAAAAGTACAGGAAGTGGCATACTGGTTGAACGCGTAAATTGCTAATTTTAATTTTATGCTGTGCAATCGTAGTTTCTTCGTAAGGCAGATACTGCTCGCCGCCACGTTAAAGGAAGTATTCTGCATTTGTATAGGATTTCAAGCTGACATAACCGTCTTAAAGATCGGTTAGTGCAGTCAACAGTCCTGACCTTGAGAAAACCCAGACCCACCGAAATTTTGAGTTGCACGCCCCCGAAGATGTGGACATTTCCAGCGAGGCTATTTCAGGGTCCCCGGTTCCCATTACACCATAATAACGTCATTAAAATCCTGCCAGTCCATTAGCCATGCGGCGATTAAGGCCATGAAAAATATAATTGTCGAAGTGTTCATATCTGGCGTTCGTGAGCGCGATTTCCTGATGTAACGGCTGCCACTTGGCTCTCAATCAATGTTGCGCAAAATACGATGACGTAATCAAACAGTGACGTATTGAGGAGCATATCTACTAATTAGAGAAAATGTGTGACCTTGCAATTTTTGTGGACTTATTTGAACTTCTCGATTGTGTGAGTAAGGACCGTGACCAAAACCTTGTTAAAAAAGTCGACCGCATTAATGAATATCAGGCATATGATAACTGTAGGGAGGTCCATCTTAATTTCCTGTGAAGCATTCCATTGAATTTTATTGTTCATCGCCTGTACTGCTTACGGAAACAGACATAGTAGCGACAAATAGGACAACAAAAACTTTAATTCACGGAGTAGGTGGAACGCTACGTAAACTCATTTTGTGGAGTAGTTCGCAGCGTTAGATCGTGATCTTCGAGTCAAGTACGGTTCGAACAAAATCAAATTTAAATTGGATGCTGGAAGTTCACGCAAATCTTTTAGGGAACAGAATTTGTTGTAATCCTTATTTCAATAGCCTTATTGCCCCAAACCTATTCCAAATTACATGCCTTTGTCTAAATGGCTTTCGTCGTATCAGCTTCGAATCGGCCACCAGGATTGTCTTTGCTAGCAACCATGACCTGACTTAGACCCACTACAGGTTAGTAGCCCTGATTTTTTTATATCGCAAGATTGGCTTTTCAAATTTGTGCAGCCAAGCATAGCTTCACATCGCCATGCCGCACCGTTCAGCCATCATTTTCCAACAACCGCGGCGGTCAAATTAACTTCCCTCCCCTATCGACCACGTGACAGCTTAGAACAAACCTCACAAACCGACGGTCAAGTACAAAAGTAGAATGTGAACAAAATTGCAGGTAGGCTGCCAACTTTTCAAAAGCAAACTCAACTGCATAACATGGATATGTGGCATTTTACTCCTCCATGATACCAGGTGACGCATGTTGTAAATGATATGGCGCTAGGCAGGAACAATATTTCAGGAGCTCGGTCGTTGCCAAATTTTATCCCCCGACTTTTG